TTATTTTGGTAACAGAAATGAGACCGGAATGGAAGAAGATGAAGGTTTTAAGTTTGTTTTCAGCAGAAATCTCCACACTGATTTTAGACAATCAGTACAAATGATGGCAAATTTCAGAGAAAAATCCATCAGTGAGATTAGACAGTGTGCTGTGAATGTGTTCGAGGCATGTTCTCATGATAAGACGCCCATTGAGGTGTTTCCTGGTGTAAAGGTTAAACCCCACTCCCTAGAAATGGAAGGAAGGTGCGAGTATCCACCTCCTCCTAAAACAGGCGAGAAAAGGCAGTATTTTCAAACTAAAAAACCACGTGATGAAGGTGCACGCTGGGACAAAAAAGCTCCTCTTTCAGAGGATGACAGTGATTATCGAAAAAGGGGTGAGCGTAGGACGCAAAGATATGGGAAACCATATCATCAGGGGCAGTACGTGAAAGAACCCCCGAAAGACGTACCTGAACGTCCCCCACCTCGGACGAACCGAGGCGAAAAAATCACAAAAGTTCCAGAAACAAGGCCCTACACCTCTGAACTCGGAAGAGACAGAGAAAATACGCAGGTTGTTAGAAACTTTGAAACACACTGACACGGGAACCCATCCAGGAGCACTATGCAGTAATGTAATTCCTATTACATCTGAGGGCGCGAATGACAACATAACAGATGTCAGTGGAACACACCAAGACATAACTGTTGTTGCCTCAAACAACCCCTCATCAGAAGAAGGGGGGGTAAACACACACACAAACGATGACGAGTCATCGCAGGCTGAACACTCAGAAACAGCTTCTGCTGTGCTGACGGTCCAGACAAACCAAGATTACACAGATAAGGCTGAACGCGTGAAGAAGCGTCAGAAAAAACCCAAAAGGTTTCTGTGTAACTTTATCAGAAAGGGGGTCGCCAAAAAGGCGTACCTGTCAGTAACACTCGAAGGTGTCCTCACACACGAAGCACTCTTGGACGGTGGGGCAGACATAACAATTATGTCAGCTAAACTGTTCGAGGAGCTGAGGACGGCCGCTGCCAGTGTTAACAGGATAATACCTCTCTCTGACTGTGCTATAGAAATGCAGGGTCTCTCAGAAATGAAAACAACCCTGACATCTATAGCAATGGTTCACATGCAAATTGGCAATATGACACTGTACCACCCAGTACACGTGTCTCGTGTTGACTCATTCCCATTTTTGGTTGGCCAGGATTTTATAAATCGCTTCGACGCGATTATAGATTATGGTGATCAAATAATGTGGACAAAAGTGAGCAAACCACTGCCAATAGATACGCCTCCGGAGTGTGACACAGACTGCCCAACAGCAGGTACCGCGGAAGGCGCACAGGACTCCTCAGCCGAGGACACGAGCCCGGTGAGTACTCCTCTGACACCATGTGAAACCAAAGAGACCCACAAAGTGGTCCAAACTCTGACTCAACAAGACAGCCTCCTCTGTGAGCTGCAGCAGTCAGAGTCCACCTACCTACCACTGGTAGTTAAGGGTGTAGAGATCCAAGGGTCCCACACCAACGATGCTGTTCTGTCTCTGTGGACAGATAAATCAGCAATCAACCGAGCTTTCTACGAAACCTTGGTTCACAAACACGTTGGTCTAGAACTAATTAAAAAAGCTTTCCGCTTTCCATTAGTTCCCAATAGTTCACAGGTAATGACCGCAGAAGGAGTCGTTAACCTAAAACTAAACTGGAACCAACGAGAACTGGTTCACCCATTTCTCGTTATCCAAAACTTACCACATGCATCCTATATAGGCTCCGACATTTTGGTAAGGTTAGGTGTCCACGTGGACACCATCAACAAGGTGCTGTGGTCCCTCAAACCAGCCACAAAGGATCCTCCTGTGCTAGACACAGCGAGCCTTAAGGCTGGGCAGACCATTCCAGAGGCCTGCCAAGTTGCTAGCAACCAAACCACCACAGTACCACCTCAGGTGATTAACCTAATGGTGCGAATCCACATCATAGCTGGACAAGCTATTAGCCGTAAACAGGCATATTTTCAACCCTCTCCTGCATTTTTCAACTTGGGACTGTCCGTGGAAGCCACGAACCAGGTGAGTCTTGACTCCAGGACCACATCTATTGCTGTGTGTAACACTGGCATGGATGAGGTACTGATCCCAAAAAACACTATGCTAGGATGGTTGATTTCAACCGACTTTCATGATTTTGAACTAGGCATTCCATTTCTGGGAGGACTCCCAGACAATCTGGTACCGAGTCAAGAAGCTGGGCCAGTATGGTTCACAAAACCAAC